TTTCAGCCGAGGATGCTAGTTTTGATCATGTTACTGGCATCCAGGTAATAAAAAATGTTTTAAAAACAATTACTAATTGCAAATCTAATCCTGCTGCATTATTTTATAGAAATACAGACTTTTTTGGGAAAGAGCTGCTCCCAAATATTTTAAAATCAATTACTACTTTATGTTCCATTGATGAGCAGCTAATAGAAATGACTTCTGCTCGTCTTATGAGAATGTTTTGGTTCGACAATATAAGAGATATTTTTCTCTTTCTGTTACTAGTGCAAGGCTTCACAATATAGATAGTGAAGAGTTAATTGGTATGTTTAGTGATGCCAAAGGAAGATGCCCGAATGCAACAATTTGTTATTTATCAAGCAAATTAAGATCTAAAAAGAATAGAACTATAGATTATCTGGATAATCTTGAAAATTTGCTTAGAGAAAAATTAGTTAAATGGTCTATTTACATGGCAAGAAAAAAAAAAATTAGATCTAGACTACAACATAATGAAATTCGAGCAGAGATTACTAATAGACAGACAGCAAAACGCCAAAAAATGGATGAAAAACAAAAAAGGAAGTTAGAGCGCGAGCTGTCTGTATTAACTATCAGTGAAATGATGAATTTATACAAACACTTATCTGCAAAACAACTTGAAGATTTAGATGATGTGATGTCTGAAAGAATTGTTGGCAGAAAACTCTGTCACGAATGGTATGATACTGACTCATCAAAGTCTATCATTTATGATGGTAGAGTAGAAAAAATAAACAAGAGACAAGATGATAGAATTTACGCTATTTCTTACTGGAAACAAGATGAAACTGATATTGAAGCTGTCGAGCATAAGATGAAAAAAATCCAGCTAGCTGCTGATGTTGTATCAGGGGAGTTAATATTTTCTTAGTTTGAATATGACAAAATGTAAAAATGCTTGAAAAAAAAGTTCTACAAGTTTTGTGGCTTTCAAACAAGTACTGCAAGGTTTGTGGATTGCGAATAAATACACCAAGTTTTGTGGCTTGCAAACAAATATAGCCAATTTTGTAGCTTGTCTTTAGATAAGCAAGTTTTGTGGCTTGCAATTAGGTACAGCAAGTTTTGTGACTTGCAATTAGGTACAGCAAGTTTTGTGGCTTGCAACTAGGTACAGCAAGGTTTGTGGCTTCCAATTAGGTACAACAAGTTTTGTGGCTTGCAAAAAGGTACAGCAAGTTTTGTGACTTGCAATTAGGTACAGCAAGTTTTGTGGCTTGCAATTAGGTACAGCAAGTTTTGTGGCTTGCAAATAGATACAGCAAGTTTTGTGGCTTGCAAATTTTTTTGATAGACGGCTCTGGCTTACCTTCACGTGGTGTCTATCGTTAAAAATGATTTATTTTAGTTCTTAAATGGAATTTAAAACTTAAATCATTTACTAAAAGCCAAGACAATAGTTAATTACTTTTTCATTTAAAAGACTTGCTGCTGTGTGTTTTTTTTTTCAGGTTGGAGTGGGTAGCCCTTCCTTTACATGACAAAATGGATACTCTCATACATCTTGTAACGTGGTAACATTTTTTGTTAAATTCTCATTAAAAAGTATTTTTTAGGTACAGGGCAAAAGGAGGGGGGATAGCTTATGCCCCTTTTCATGAAGGGAATTTATACACAACTGTAATGTGGTAAAATGGTTTTTTTATACTATTTTATATGTGTTTAAAAAGCATTTTTAAACAATTTTTGTTCAATTCTCATTAAAAATTATAATTTAGGTACAAAAGGGAAGGGAGTGGATAGCCTACGCCCCTTTTCATTAAGGCAATTTATACACCACTGTAATGTGGTAAAATAGTTTTTTATACTTATGTGTGTTTAAAAAAGCATTTTTAACCATTTTTTTTTTAATTCTCATTAAAAGTTTTTTTTAGGAATGGGGCGGAAGGGGCGGCTTACGTCCCTTTCCACCATCCATGAAGGAAATTTATACACCATAAGTTACTATTTTTCCAAGTATCGAAATATTTTTTTATTTTTTATACCAGAATTGATAGTTTTAGTAAAGATTGAAAGATTAACAAGAATGAAATTTTGATAGGGTGTGTTAAACCTTACCCAAAATCCAACACCCGACTTTGAGATCAACCTGTAATATTCGCTAGTGATGTGGGATAAATTAATAACAACTTTTTGTATATAAATACTTGTAATTTAGAAAAAAAAACACTTTTTTATGAAAAAATATTTTTGTAAGGTGTAGATGGTGGATTAGCACCCCCTCCGGATCCTTGGATGCGCCCTTTACCTAAAGTCTAGTTGGAAGTTATAGCCTTTTTGTATATCTATCTTTTGATATCAATTTATAGATATTTGAATAAGAACTGGCAAAGTTATAACAATTTATGTGGAAAAAAAAATTTTTTGACCACAGTTTTATCCATATATCGAAAATTTGCTACTAAAAACGTCATAACTTTTGATAGAATAGTCCGATTTTCATAATTTAAAATCACCTTTAAAATACTGTATT